GGCGTCCCGAACCGTCCCCCCGGGAGTGAGGCCGCCGGTGGAGCGTGGCGGCGTGAGGCGAGCCGGAGCGGGCGGGGGAACGCGGTCACGGCACTCGACCGGCCGGCCCGCGGCGCGGTCGGCGTCCTCCGCCCAGTCCGCCCAAACCACCTGCCAGAGAGGTTCAGGGGACGGGAGGGGAGGGGCCGGCGGGGAGGGGGGAGCAGCGGGGGAGGCGGAGGCCACAGCGGAAGGGGCTGCCGACGGCGAGGGGGGCTCGGCCGGGGAGGCGGCCAGCGGGGCGGCGGAGGGGCCCGAGTCGCCAGAGCCCGCGCCTTCCATCAGTCCTCTCCAATTCTTCTGGTTTTTTAATGATTGTCTTCCCCTGACACCATATAGTCACGTTCCTCATAGTGGTAGTACAAATGCCATTTGAAAATCAACCATAGGTACACCATTATCATTATTCAATCAATCCAAAAACTAATGAGCTGTTTCTGTAGGCAGCCCACGTGAAATACTCACCTGAACTCCACAAGAACACACTAAAAGAACAAATGTTAGAAAGAAAAAGCAACAACATTTCACTCCAGAACTCAACAAACAGGGACCTCCCATCGTCAGCCCCCAATCGAAGAGCTCCATAGCACTTCAAGGCTCGAAGATATGATGAAGGATTCTGAGGAATCCCCGAGCAGCAGCTCCCTGCAAAAGGCCATATCCGTAACCAATCTGATATTTTGAGCGGCCATGTAAAACAGAGAAAAGGCAACAACACTGCACTCCAGCATTCGACACTCCCATTGCCTGTCTCCGATCAAAGAGCTCCTTGCACTTCAAGGCTTCACAAAATTTTGAGTATTCACAACTAACCATCATGTCTTCAGTACGAACCGATCTTGTAAGCCTGTAAGAAGGAAAATAATTAAAATAATTTCAAGTGAGTGTCCACAGTTTCAGAACCAAAAAATTAGAATAATAAAGTAGTAGAACTAGAGCAAGTTTTTCTTAGCCCGCTATTCCACTCACCTATCTAATTATAGAGAGATTCATCCGGGAAGATATTACGTCCATCTGCTGCAACATGGACTAGGATGCCTTGCTCTTCTTCCGCGAGACAATTCCTGAACTCTTGGACGTGTGGGCAGTCAATCATGTACACCCTATTCAGCGAGCACAGGTTCTCTGCCTGATCCAGCATTGGGCAGTCCTGTACAAACAGGTGCTGCAACTTACAGAGGTTAGAAATCCTCCTCAAACATGCGTTGTTCTTCACCTTGAGCCACAGAACGGCAGGAAGATTGACAACTTCTTGAAGCTTGTGAGCACCTTCAATGTGGATTCTCTTCAAATTAACAATCATGGACATGTCTTGGGGCAGAGCTCTCAGTTTGGGGCAATCAAGAAGCAGCAGACGCTTAAGGCAGGGCATCAGAGTGAACTGCTGAGAGTTGTCTTCCATGTCATCAAGCTTATTTCTTATGTTCAGTGACCATTTTTCCAAACTACACATGCTAATGATGTGAAGCAGTTCAAGTTTTGGGAAGAAAGCCGCTGCACTTCTGACACCTTTCCCCAGGAGTTCTGTGTCAATAGTTACAATTTCATCTGCACCTTTAATCTGAAGAACTAGCAATTCTGGCATCTGACCTGCTGGTGGAAGCTCTGAACATGATACGCACTCATTGAGGTGCATATGACACAAACTTGGCATATTAAGCTCCGGTTCTGAGAGTAGCCATTCCGGGAATCTTATACCCAGGAACCCTTCCAGAAAAATATATACAAGGCTTGGTGATGGAATAAGCATATCATAGACTTGCTGAATTCTCTCAACCTCATCAGTCTGGTAACGAGTTCTCTCTTGCGTAGTGGCCACTGTGCAGCGCAGTCCCAGTTCTCTAAGATTATGACTGTTCTTCAGTACAAGTTCAGCCCCTGGTGCCGCTGTCTCTAGCTTCTCGACCCAAAGACGTTGGATATTGGGGAGGCGTCTCAATTCATCTAATCTGAATCCAGTACCACTCTCAAAAACTCCTCTTAGGTTGTAGAGCTGCTGAAACTTTGCAATCCCTTTTGGAACATGATCAACTGCAGTCTGTTCTAATTGAAAAAAACTTATGTTGGACAGTCTCATGAGACCAGCTGGCAGGCTATCCAGATGATGGCAACCAAGCAAAGAGAGGTATTCAAGGCTGATGAGGCTTCCTGTGGACTCTGGAAGCATGTTAATTTCAGTATAGCTCAGATCTAGCAACCTCAATAGCACCAAGTTCCCCAGTGACTCTGGTATATTTTGGATGCTTGTTCCGCTGAGAACTAAAATACGGATATGCTCGAGCTTTCTGAAAATTTCCTTGTGAATCGACTTGAAGTTCTTGTTATTAAACAGTAGGAGGATCCTCAAACACTTATGCTCTTCTAGAGCGGGTATTTTTTCTACAGCATGGCTGATGCCTATGCGGCGCAGATTCGACATGGCATTGTTATTTTCCGCATTCATGAATAGGGAGTGATCCTTTGTCAGATATTGTCCAAGTGACCTCAATAGATCATGCGTTGTTGACACAGCCTTGTCTACATACTTTGGTATTGGTTGAATAAGATTCCTCCGAACTAGCTCAAGATAATACTCTTCAGCAATTTCATGTACTGAGAACTCATGCTCTTTCCTCACAAAACCTTCGGCAACCCACCAGTAAGCTACAGCATCACGGTGGATTTCAAAATTAGGAGGCAATAAAGCACACCAGAGAAAGCACTGCTTGAGTCGAGGGGGTAAATTGTTGTAACTTAAATACAGTGGGCCTCCAAGTTCTTTCGGGAGTCCATGAATGGACCATTTGCTATCTCGGATGCTCTTCCATTCGGCAACTGTTTTTTTGGTAGATAAGACACCTGCAACGACCTTTATGGCAAGAGGAAGGCCATCACATTTCTTTACAATTTCATACCCCATATTCTTGAATTCACTTATTTGCTCGGACGACTGAAAGGACTTCTTCATAAGCAGTTCTAAGCCATCATTGTAATTCATTTTGTTTACTTGGTGGGTATATATTGCATGCATTTCTGACAAAACATCCAGGTCTCTTGTGGTGACAAGGACATGGAAATTAAAGGCTCTCATGAAAGGCGATAGAAGAAGATCAATCCAGACATCAGATTTCCACACATCATCCAGGACAAGAAAAACACTCTTTCCTTTGATAGTGTCCACTAAAAGTGGAAGAAGCTCGGTCTTGGTCTCTAGTTGATCACACTTTTCTCCAGCCATTCGTATTGCCTGCTTTATCAACCCGGTCTCTGTGTAGCTCTGCGAAACGCACAACCATATATGAACTTGGAATTTCTCTCTTATCATCTGCTCATTATATATCTTCTGGGCTAACGTTGTCTTACCAATGCCTCCCATTCCTTGAATCCCCAGAACACTTCTACTATTCTCATGGCAGCCACTGACAATCATTTGTACTATGTTACCAACAGATTGTTTGATCTCTCTTCCAACAACCTCTAGTTCATCTATAGGGGATGTCTGATTTCTATCCACGGTTGTTACCTGGAATTGTTGACGAATGGTTCTATCCAAGCTGAACATCTGTGTGTTCGTTTTAATCTCATCAAGCTTTTCATTTATGTCCTTAATTCTTCTAGCCACCTTATGATCAAATGAAAGCTTTCCAAAACAAGAAACCATAGACTGATTGCAACATACCGATCTAGGTGGTAGCAGAAGCTTCTGTGAATGAACCATAACAAGATCTATGATGACATCAACATCAAACATAACATCAGTCATGCTCTTCCACCATGCCTTTATCCGTCTATCTTTCATGGCCAGAGCTTCCATGTCCTCACGAACAGCGCTGAAGTATTCCAGATTTTTCTTCAGCCTCTTGATATCCTTTTTCACGCTTAGTGTCATCACAACCTCATCTTCGATAAGCTGACCCAACTTTGTCAAAAATTTCGAAGTGAGAGCATCCAAAATTGTGCCCATAGTGGGCAAACTAATGGACTCTGACTTCGATGCAAGTGCACCTGCCTTGATGTTTTGTGGGCCTTGTGCTGTGCAAATTGTCCACACAATGCTCTTCTCTGCATAAGTGAGTGATAATTTATTTTTATTTCATTACAACAAGCTCAAGAACCTTCGAGACTTAAATTCGTACAGGAAAAACTGTGGGATACTCTTTACTTTTTTTATGAATAAAATACCCTGGTCACATTCCAAACAAATCCTGTGTAATCTACAAAGTGAAACTTATGTTTCCAGACCACTAGTAAATAAGATATCAAATTTGAAAAAGTCAGGATCTTAGAGCAGCAACACATGAGCCTGCAGTGACAGAGAATGACACGTAACTAAAGGATGTACCTTTCTACTCTTTGATAATGAAAGAAGGAGTCAAGGACGTGGCGGCAGCACTGTCTAGGATTTAGTGGTTGAAGCCATGATCAGTGAATGCTGAGACATCTGCATCAATAACTGATGAATGGTTACCCAATGCCAGGATCATATAACTATAAGAGGCCATATGTGCAATTCAAGCACGGGGGATAGAAGAAGCAGCCATGCCACTGTATAGACGAGCGGCTTTCGCCATACTCCTGTGTAATCTCCTGCCTAGGTGAGATTTAGCTTGGCCACACAAACTAGCCTGTTGGATGCTTGCTCATACCTCATGGTTACTTCATTACATGGAAGGAGGATGACCAGCTGACTGTTTTCTTGTCAAGCCATAGGACCTGTCCGTCCCTGTCACAGCCACACAATCAAGCACACCTTTCTTGTCATCAAACACGTCCTTGTTCGCATTTTTCTTCCCACCTTCCTCATTGTAAATTCCCACTAATGATGAAATAAAAAATGGACAAGTGTTGTTGCAGAATTACAAGGTGAAGGCCCTTTCAGTAATTATCTTTTTCCATACATCCACTTGCTAGTAAAATATATGAAAAATGATGCCCCTTTTCTTGATCCTAGTCAGATTCCAGACATGCAAGTTCGAAGCACTTTCTTCTTACGACAACCAGCTACAGGAACCACATGCCATAGACTTTAACTAGGAGCAAATATATTGTAAAAAGTGGACAGATGATTATTTGGGCATTTCATCAAACAATTTTTATTTTGACTATATTTCGTCAAACAATTCATAAGCAAAACTAAAGAGCATGGAACCAAGATATGGTACTCAATTTTAAAGGAATGATGCCATACCTTTCGATTTTAACGGCAGATGCGAGAAGGGGTAGAGACAAAGGCGGCGGTCCAGTGGTGGTCTCTTGCTGGGATAAACAACGAAAGGATTCTCCGCAAGCCAGGAGCCCAAAATGTAGCATATGCAATTCAGGCTCGCGAGAAAGAAAAACCGGCTGACAAGAAAGGAATTGGTCACCATGCCTCGGTGTAGACGAGCAGCGGCGAGCCTGCTACTGCTGGGAGGTGGTAGAAGAGGAATCTCTTGCTTAGGTGAGATCAAACTACCTCTTCTTGGATGGTTGCTCATAGAGTCACAAGCTAAGCCACTCCTTCTGCCTACACAGTCAATCCATCAACCCAGCAGTTGGAAGAAGAGAACCTACCACTCCTCCAAAGTCAAATGCAGAATGGCTACCTAATCAATTTCTTGTAATATTTGCATCAGATTCGTTTAACATGAAATTATCCAGAAAAGGACAGTCATTGATGCACTTGAAGTCTTTCAGTCCGTCTATCTTAATCAGCGAATAACATTTCAGCCATAATATACTAGTATGGTTGTCCACTTGTCCTCATCTACTTGCACCGGCAAGACCTCGGTTCGGTGCAGAATCATTACATAGGAAGTGCCAGCTTGGCTTGCCTCCTGCGAAGTTGCAAGATTTTGATTAGGATAGCGAAATTTTTAACCCAGAAACAGAGGAGAGGCTAGGAAGCGCACATGAGCATTTCGTCGAACAGCTCGTATGCATCCACTGATGTTCAAACAAACATTCAATGGAACGCCTGCCATTTTCGTTAACGCTTCCTTGTGCCTCAAGGCTGACGAGTCGCCAAAGCAATCAGGGAGGCGGTCTATGTTAGTCAACACAAAACGATGGGAGTGATACGAGAACGGGGCTTACAGTCAGGAACCACCGGGCGGTGGGCAAACCAGCCGGCGAGAACGATCAACTTCAAGGAGGGAGGTCGCGATTTGCAAATCCGCGTCCGCCGCCGCTTGACTCCTACAATCGCATGGCAGTTGGTCCTTCTCCCTTGAACCGGACGCCGAACGAGCGAGCAGAGCAGAGCAGCTGGCCCGGAACAATGAGCCAGCTAGTCGAGGCAGCGAGCTGCTCGTACTCGATAGGATTGATGCGGCACCGGGAGATGGGCGGCGACGAGAGCAGTTTGGGGCGCGGGGCCAGGGACGCCGACGTCCAGCATCCACCGCGGCGACATGCCGCGCTTGGCGGGGGTCGGCGGCCTGTGTCGTCCTGCAACTCTGATTGCAAACACGAGCCATGTTCTATTATTTTTTTCTTAACATCAGTACACACACAATCGCTCATATATACGTGCATACAGTCACCCTAGAAACACATATCCTATCCCTATAAACATGTCTTGTAGTTGACAGAAACGTCTCCTCTCACTCAGAGCGTATCGCCGAAAATCCTGAAATGATTCAGAATAAAAATAAATGCGAGCTGCAGCCTGTAGGACTTGAATTCTGATGGGCTGAAGATACCAATGTTCACCTAACAATCCAACCACGGGTTGGTTTGCATGTTCTACTGCATCTGTCTCTAATGATATCTGATGAGATGAACTCACGCATTCAGATGTACCCTTTCACATTACCTCACGTAAGGAGTATTTCACATCTTACACAAGTGGTATATTGGCCAAGTGAAGATAGAAAGTAGTGGTTCGTCAACTACTATTGGCAAGAGCTCATATATGCACTAGAAACTCGGTGACTATAACTTGATCCATATTTAATAGTATGGATGTGTGGGCCATGTGATGCAAAGGCTAGCGTAACCCCTTTTTAGAAAATGCATTGAGACAAACACAAGTTGTAGATTAATGCTTGATGATGTGAGCGTGTTTTCAACATAAGATTGAATTTATCGTCGTGAGCAAGTTTGATGATACCAAGCAACCTAGTTACTTCGGCAAAATAAAGTGAAAGATCACCAAAGACTTTTTGATCATGGCTCGAATAAGTAGGCAAGGTTTTCTAATTGTGACTAATCATGCGATGAAGTGTCGAAACATTGCTGAGAAAGAGCATTCAACTGACTTTGTGGTACAAGATGCTTGGGCATATGAGTGAGAAAGACATGTATGCTCTTGCTCACATTGAATACCTTCCTAAGTTGAAATTTATATCTTTGAAACCATGTGCACGTTATTTTTGTTATGTCGACACGAATGAGAACCGCGGACCATGAAAATAGTGCAGGATTGTCGGAGTCTGCCGAGTCAGGATTTTGGAGATCCTATGACCTTACTCAATCTCTGTCACAGTGTGTGATGACGACCTTCGCTGTTGGGATCCTTTGGTGGCAACTGACTGTGGTCGTGACTCAACTACCTGCTTGTAACAGGATCTTGACTTGCTTGGCATTCCACATCCAGACCATATTATGCACGCAACATCAGGAATCGCGGAAAGTGATGGCGACAATACATAATGACTTCAATTTGATGGTGCTTCTTCAATACTTGAAAATCCAAGGTCTGGCTCTATTTGATTATACCTTACGAAAAAGGATTCCCCTCCGCTTTAGATTATAAAGCAATATCTAACCGATACAATTAGCTTGCCGGGGTCACAACACAAACAAACCCAAAGGAAAAAAAAAGAGAGAAAGAAAAAAGAAATAAATGCCGACGCCGACAGCTCAGCTAAGCAAAGATGGCCGACACCCGCTACACCCTTCGGAGAAGTACCACCGCTCACCAAGCACTCTGAAGTCTCGCGTACCAAGCAACATCTTCATGAAGAAATGCGACGACGACGACACTGCTACCCAGGCAAGCCCTAGGGTTTTCCCCGATACGCGGATGGTAGTGGGGGAGGGGTATCACCGACGCCCCTCAGGAGGGTCCGGCAACGCCCACGGGCGCAGCCGCGCCGGTGGCGAATGAGCCACGAGAGATTTCACCCGTCCCGAAACCACCACCGCCACCCTAGACAAACGGAAGCGCACCGCACAACATGCCGCCCACCAGCCCGTGCCACCACGGATACCGCACCATCATCACCGTCTCACTGAGCCACCAACACGAAACCTGGAGGTAGGACAAGAAGACACCGGGCTTGGTGGCAACCGCAACACAGCCGACAGGAGGGAACAACCTCCACCGCCGCGCGGAGCCGACCGGACATAGCGACAGGGACTTGCCAGGCCACACCGGCCCGGCCGGACCCTAACGGGTCCGGACAGTCCCTGCAGCCACGCTGCAGCACGCCGGTCGCCGAAGCCATCACCATCGCATCCACGGCCGCCTCGCCACACCACCAGGAAGCTACGCCGTCGCGCCCCGGACCGCAGGCCCGCCCCAGCCCAGATGGGACCCAAAAGGGCCAAGATCTGGGCTGAGCAGGCGCCGCCGGCCAGCTGCCGACCGCGCCGCTCCGTAGCCAACGGCCTCGCCACCGCGTCGAGAGCACCCGAGGCCCGCATAACTCCGCCGCCAGGCCCCATCGCCGCGAGCCGAGCAGCACCGCCGCCAGGGCAGGAGGGAGCCCTGACTCCCCCTCCAGGCGTGCGGGGAATGGACGTCCGCCGCCGTCGGTGCCATCCGAGGAGGAGGAAGGGGTCGAGACGGGGAGGCAGGCAGGAGGGTGCCGGGGGAGAGGGAGGTAGGCCGGGGCGCGCGCGCGACGGAGGCCGACACCGACGGGAGGGGGCGAGGGGTGGCCGGCAGCGGCGCGGGAGCAAGGGAGGAACCCTAGCTCGCGGTCGCGGGGGTCAGTAGCCGCCTCTAATTCCAAGAGCCTATTTGATTATACCTGA